CTGTGCAATTCACATCCTTATACTAAAAAATTACCAACCAAACCAGTGCTTACAGTGGACCTGAACTCAAAGTGAACAGGAAAAGACAAACCCAATGTTAGATTTGTTAGCTAACACTTGGAAATTGGGAGCAGACCTCAAGATATAATTATACTTCGTTCCCACAAAGGAAACTTAAACTTAGCTGCCTGAAGTTTTTGTGGCACACCGTGACCATTTTACAGGGAAACCAGGGAGGCTACGCCTCACAGTCCACAAGGTAGCCACAGAGGTGCATCTTCCCACCAAACAATCTGCCTATCGTGTCTTGTTGGAGTTTTAAAGGGGGATTGAGGGGATGCTGCAGTTAGGGGTCACTCAGATTATTCCCACAGTGCCTAGGCGTCACCAGTAGTTCTGGTCCCCAGAAAGAATCAGACGATCAGGTTCTGCGTTGCCTACAGAAAGCTGAATGCCTTCACTACTGTTGATGTCTAGCCCATTCCCAGAGTCACTGCAGAAGTTGCAGCACAACTTGTATGGCTGCATCTTCACAGTGAACACTAGCCACAATCCACTTAGGTGTTCTAAACATGTTGCTGGGGAGAATGGCAAGCTGCTTCACTGGAGTTTGAGTTTCCAACAATACAATTTCACCATACAGCATAAATGGGAAGTAACCACTGCAGCGCTGATAGACTGTCCTTGGAGCTAGAGCCAGAAGAACCCGGTCGTATTGGAAAGGAACTTGTACACCTTCCCTGGGACCTATTAAAGAGGTTTGACGATAGTGAAGTCTGATGAACTGTGTGGATGGAATGGGGGAGTCCCAAAAATTTGCAAGGCGGTAACAAAAATAGTAAGCTTTAAATCTCATGTCAATACTAGGCAGCCATATAAGGTGACACATTTGACAAAAACACAGTCCAGAGTAAGACACATTTAACACAAAGTTAGATGGAATGCAGAGGTATCATAAACTTCCTCTTATAAAGGGCCCTGTCAAAAAATAGGCAGAGCATCTTAAGCAACACACATTTGTGAGTCTGTTTTTTTTATATACCGGACCCAAACTTTATACATCATTTATAATTCCAGCTGTGATGGAGTTACTTTCATAAAAATTGGTTACACAAATGTATAGAAAAATACAAAGCAGGTAGATACCGAAAACGCTTATATTACAAGGTCCAGAAGGCTAATAAAATAAATTACACCCTAGTAGAATGATGCATGCAATCTATATTATATATGTGGCATCTAATAAATTGTCATTTCATTCGGCTAAAAAATCTGCTGGTTGTTGGAATGTGAAACCTTGTTAGATGGAAATATAGATGTATTCATCAAAGTTAGGGGTATGTCTAGCGAAGCATAATAAAACACTTCACACCTACATTACAACCTTGAGGCCGTTTGATTGGGTATGGCCATCAAGGGGACAAGAAAAGATGGCTGCTCCAGCAGCTCTGAGCTCTCATTTTACTATCAAAACTATAACGCAATTCTAAGAGTAATTTATGGGATCCATTTGCCATATCAGATTGGACTTACTCTGCAAGCGAATTGAACTCTGCAGTTTGTCTCTTTGAAAAGCTATAATTGTGTAATCTGCATTCACACCTAAGCTAAGTATATTTCTGATGATTGTTTTGCACATTTTTTAAGGAGTTTTCAGGCTTGCGTGTTTTTATTTTAGCTAAAGGAAAGCTAGTTACTAGGAGGAGATGGTTGTTAGGAACAGAACCGTGTGAAAACCACGCGTTATGCGCATTTTTCAAGTGGTCCCATTGAAGTCTATGGAGCCAAAAATATGCAATTCTGCCAGAAAAGAAGGTCATGTAACTGTTTTGAGCTTCAAGCTACAAGTGACAGGTAATACAATGCTCAGGTTTAAATGGCTACCATTGAAAATAATGGGATTCTTCATGCTGAACATTGTCATGCTTTGGTAAATACAGGACAAAACACTAACATGTGAATGGGGTCTTAAACTCTGTTACATTTCTGTCTGGGCTTACCAGCGGGTGTTACAGACATTTCTTAAAGGCTAGAATTGCAACAGCAGATGCTGTAAACGGTGTGTGTTTCCGTTAAACCACATTGTGGCAGCTACTGTGTGTGTTTGAAGGTTTAACTGCTTAGTTAACCTGCACCAGCTTCAAACAGTAAAACAGCAAAAAGTTTCCTGGCACACTCACCAGCCAGCATGCAAAAAAAAAATTATCTAACCACTAAGGTTAAAAGCAGTGGACGCACCACTATAGCTATGTTGCTTGTATTCAGAATGGTGTATACCTGTATTTGTTTCCCATGTATCGTTTATTTACACAAATAAAGCTGATTTTTTTTTAATTCTAAAAAAAAAAAGCAGAGGTTTAGATACACGTCTTCTGCAGAAAATGTGAAAGCCGCACAGCCACGTCAAGGCACCTCCATATAGTGCGGTCCTAACTCTAAACTATGAGAGTCTCCATCTTGGAGCACATGGGGCAAAATACTAAATTGGGTGCAGGTTTGTCAGGTGGAAGCCTGACAAACCCGTCACTTATTTGTCTAAAAATATGTATCATAATCCCTATTTCTAATATGTGAAAGATTGAAAAAAACACAGATGTTTAATATGGTAACTGAGGAGTCCATAAAACTTGAAGGCTGTCTACCTTTTAGACCATGTGTCATGTTATACCCATAGGGTTCTTTCACAAATGCGTTGATAATTTAGTGAAAGAGCAATGCTGATTAACACGCCTATAGTGTTAACAAGGCATTTAGCAGGCATTTTCAAGGCATTAAGGAACCATCAATAACTAATGCAAAATTCCCTGCAAGTAGGGGAGTGTTACAGGGGAAGTGATGTAATAAAGGGAAGTGACCAGCTTTGAGGTGTGCTTAGGCTGTGGTGACATTTACAGGCATATTGTTGGTTTTTCTGTGCTGCATTAATATAGATCCAACTGTCTTTTGACAACATGGGTTCGTATACAGTGATCTATATAATCCTCTGCTGTACTGTTTAAGCGACTGTATAGTTTGCATTATAACATTACATGTTATCAGTGCAAATAGCAGTGCCTACACCTGAAACACGCATAGGTGATGGAGTGAAAATTGATAATTATTTTCTATTTTTGCAGGTTTTTGGCAACGGGAATCCTTCTCCTCCCTTCACTTACATTTTTTGTTGCACTATTCACAATATTGTACACGAAACATGTGATGCAAGTTGGAGTCAGCTGAAAGATATAGTGATGCCTACACCAACAGAGGAGTGAGGGGGAGGAGGCTGGAACAGAGGAGGCTGGAAATCAGCACACAATTTGACGAAAACAGCAATTTCCCCCACTGCATCGGAGCACTAGATGGCAAACACATCTGTATTAAATACTAATGATATACTATATACTACTTATACTAACAATAACCTACAAAGCCATCTACAACTCTGTCCCAACCTCCATCACCCACCTCATCTCAAAATATCACCCAAACCGCCCCCTTCGCTCTTCCCAAGACCCCCCGCTCTCCAGCTCTCTTGTCACCTCCTTGCATGCTAGCCTCCAGCATTTTTCCAGAATGTCTCCCATCCTCTGGTACTCTCTACCAAAATTTGTCCACCTATCTCCTACTCTGTCTGTAGGCAATCCTTGAAAACTCATCTCTTCAGGGAGATATATTCTACCTTAACATAACAGTACTTTCAGTTCTTCCATTAAATCATCCCAAACAGTTATTACCTTTTGTATCACTAGACCCTCCTACTAGATTGTAAGCCCTCACGAGTAGGACTGAAATTGTATTGTTAATTGTATTGTCTCCATCAATTTTGTAAAGCGCTGCATAAACTGTTGGCCCTGTATAATAATAAATCATGTATAATAATTAAAGAAAGCCTGCATATCTGTGTTTGCTGATTCAGTATATTTTTTTAAAATTCTGGATTGCTCAGATGGCGGGGTGTTTTTATCTGGCAATTGAACAGTCGTTTGATCACCGGCAGTGGATGTTGCAGACAGCTGTGATGACTCCATTAGCTGAGTGTTTTCAATTGGTTGCTCATTTTCAAGCTCTTCTGTGGCATCAATACGGCTCTCACTGTCGTCCACATTGACGGATGTTCTACATGACAAAAAAAGGTAAGACGTGGAGTATATGTTCAAGACAGGGTTTGAGAGACAGTGCATCTGAGTACAGCCAGAGTCAGTGCCTGCAGCATATGGTTGAGGGCCTAAAGCCTGTGGAGCCAGTGCGAGCCACGAGGCTGGTATGGAGTATTTGCTTTGCTAAGAAATGCTGAAAAACCCTTTTTTAATGTATCTTTAAACGTTACCATGAGGTAATCTTCACATGGTATATAAAGTAATATTTGACATAAAACAATGCACATTAAAGTCATACAAACAAAACTCACTTTTGTTCTCCTGCTCCCTGGCTATCAGGCTTTCCCATTCCACCCTCAGTACATGCTGGATTATTTCTTGCCACACTTCTTTTTTTTTTAAGGAGTTGCAGTAGCTGGGCAGACTTGGGTCATACAATTCTGGGTGTTGCTCAACTGCTTGACTTCGGCCTTGTTCTAAACTATAACTAAATGCCTATGCAGAGGGCACTAGCGATCCCTTCTCCACCTTCACCAAGTCACACCTTTTGTTAAGGCTGCATATCCATGTACGGACCTGAGGCAGGCGGTAAACATTGATTGATCCTGTGCATTTTACCAGCACCGCACTGATCGTAAAATAATTGTAAGATCAATGTTGTTGCATTTGCTACTTTTTTACAAAAGGTGCCCAAAAGGTGGACTTAGTCTTTATATTTGAATCCTGTCCTCTTGTTGTCAAAGATTCCATGCTGTAAAATATGTCATGCTTGCTGGTTTTGGTTCCACAAGCTGCTAGCAAACTAGAAAATTAATTATATCATACATAACATTTTATACACATTTATTTAAACTGGTAGAAAAACACAACCCCACCCCTCAGATGTTCAATATTGTTTTAAAGAAAGCGCTGTTTGTCCACAATTTATTATTGTTAAAACTGTTGTATTACAGCTGTACGAGAGCTGCTTGAGTTGTTAACCTTTATTAATGTATAATGACCTTTATAAATGTCAATTTTGTATTCATTCACAATTTAATGCTTATACTCCTGGCCATTATGCTCAGTGTCATCACGTAAAGTGGTATGCAGCTGACTTTGACTTATGAATGATTACATGATTAATATAAAACATTGGGTAAAACAAGTTTTCTTCTCTTTGTTAAATAGATGTTTTTAGCCAAGTGGAAATATAAAGTGGCAAGAGCAGTCACAAATAAATTAAAGTATCAGCATAGATGTTCAAATACATTGATTTAACTCTACAACCAGTTTGCACACATTTCACTCAAAACCAATTTTGTTGGGTTAATATTTGCTGTTAAAATGGTAAATCAGCAATGAGGCTTCAAGCTGTTTTCATTTTTTTATAAGTGGGTGTTATATTTTAGATGAGGCTGGTGGGTGGGTCGGAGAACATCTTTATGACCAGCTGAGTAAGTGCAGGTCACTGGTCCAGTGTGTAGACCCTGTAATTCATGGGGTTATTTACAATGCATGGAGACAAGCTGTGACCATCCAGTCTGGTCACCTTCATTAAGTAGGCCATACCAAGTTAAGACAGGAAGCTAAATTAGGTTGCAGGTTTACTAAAAAAAGAAATTACATGTTTGCAGTACAGTTCACAAGGTCATACTCAGTCCTACAAGGTCATACTCAGACAAAGCAGGAAGCTAGAACTTCAGTGCAGAAAGAAAAGAACTGACACTTTTCCAGAGCAATTCACAAAGGAGTTAAAGGAGAACTATGAGATGAGTGATTTCCACTCACCTCATAGTTCTAGCCGACCTGTGACAATGAGACTGTCACAGGTCGGCTCAGTAGATCGGGAGGTGAGCGAACACATACCGGGTTCTCGATCCTGTCACGGCTCTCTGCCATGACAGGGGGAGGGGCTGGATTCCCCTCTCCCCGCTCCGATCTGCCAGCGCTGACAGATAGGCAGAGCCAGCTGTCACTCACGCAGCTGGGCGGATCTCGACGCTGATGTCGGGATCCGTTCCGGCTGCGGCGTCTCAGTATACGGCGAGCTGTAGCTCGCGGTATACTGAGCTTAGGGTAACGGAAGGACGCTAGTTTGTGTCCTCCTGTTACCCTAAGGAGAACTATGGGGAAAAACACTGACCCCATAGTTCTCCTTTAAGGTCAAGAGAACAGAAAACGTGGACTCCAGTGTAAAAACAGAAGAGCCTCCACCTTTCCAGGGAGGTTGTCAAAGTTAGGTAGAATTTCTCTGCAGACAACTGCAAATCCTAAGGTCCCATAGCAAAATTTCAATATGCTATCTTATATCTATCTGCAATATCCAGCAATTTGCATTGGTGGCTAGCAGCCTATACTGCTCCCCTGAAAATGGCCCCTTTATATTGGTGTCCAGTGGCCTTTACTGCAACCCTGAAAAATAGTCCCTTTATACAGATATTTTGTGGTGGCTTTTCATGTTCCCCTAATAGTGCCATTTATATTGGTAGTCAGTTGTAGATTGTGCCTCTAGAGAAAAGCTGCTTTTTACATTTTATAAAATATATTTACATGGTGATAGATCTTTCCAGGCGTAAAGCTATCTACAGTATGTACGTTTTATAATGTATACCCTTTGTCACAAACATAATTATAAGTCCTGTAGACAGGACATTATGATGGAGTTATTTCAACTGATGAGTGCATTTCAAATCCATGCTACCAAAGATTCATTTGATTGGTCCCGTGATTCAGTTTTCTTTATCAAAATCCTCCACCGTTTGTCATTTTTTTCTACTTCGGGCTTTTTGTAGTTTTGCACATGTATTCCCCTTACTACCTGAACACAGGCAACAGACAGCAATATAACCTGAAAGAGGCTCTAATATTTTCCCACTGCATTCAAAACTAACAGTCTGGAATTCCTCTTTAGAGTTGAGAGACAGTGATTCTACTCTTATATGAGATACTAGGCAATTACAGCATTATAATGCCAACAGACATATTTAGTGTGCCTTACTAAAAACATTCTTCTGTGAGTCTTGGGCAGCACAGTGGCGTAGTGGTTAGCGCTTCTGCCTTGCAGCACTGGGGGTCCCCAGTTCACATCCTGGCCAGGTCACTATCTGCAAGGAGTTTGCATGTTCTCCCTGTGCTTGTGTGTGTTTCCTCCAGGTACTCCGGTTTCCTCAGACATTCCAAAGACATGCTGGTAGGTTAATTGGCTCCTCTCTGAGTTGGCCCTCTATGTATGCATGGGAGATAGGGACCTTAGATTGCAAGCTCCTTGAGGGTAGGGACTGATGTAAATGTGCAACTATGTAAAGTGCTGCGTAAATTGTCAGCTCTATATAAATACCTGTAATAAATAAATAAGTCTTCTATTTGCTTGTTACACATATATTTACAAGTTTCTGGAATTATGATGCACAGGCCAGAAAGTAGATTAGGGGAGATTTGAAAGAGGAAAGTACTGAGCTTCGATTATGTAGATGAACAGATTTTGGTAGTGGGGGTCTGTATGTCAGTCAAGATAACAGCCCCGATGCTCCTTACCCACTTTTAATCAATACATGTAGAAGTCTTTACATTTTCTGAAAGAACACATGAGCATCTTTTATCTTTTACCCTATGTGGCTGAAGGATAACAAAGACAGTAGTACCCATTAGTATGACAAAAAGAAACCTAGTTTTCTGTACAATGGTGAATATTCTATTCCATTTTATGTCAGCTTAATTGGAGATAAAACATGTATCAGACAAAATGCTTCAAGTTGTGTTTTTCTCTTAAACATCTCAGCTTTTGTCTAAAAGCAGTGGGGACTAGAGGTCCATGATTGCATGGAGAACGCTTAATGCCCTCTTCATCCAGATGAAGGAGAAACAAGTCAGAAGATAGGCATGGACACATCTATGTCTGAAAATAGATCTATAATAGCTAGTTTTTCTGTTACTTGTAATTTGTTATTTATAGCAGGAGACATTAGATGAAGATGCAAGTTTTAAACATGATCCAACCACCCTAGTGTTTCTTTCCATGTAGAGGCAGAAATGCACCCAGACACTTCCATAACTGGTTTACTGGCACAAATAAAACTTTGATACATATAAAGAAAACACCTCCTTTTTAAAACCCAACAGGTTTTAGTGATTATATACAGGTTTGGGGAAACTCCTTCACAGGCACATTTCAAAATCTCACATTTTAAGTGAGATTAAGTCATTTTAAGTTAGCATTTTAACAAGTAATAACCTATGTAATGATCTTTGTGAATTGACTTTTATAGGCAAATTAAAAATATATTGTGTACATGCAGAAAGTTCACCTGATTTCTGTAAGAAAATAGTGACCTGAAATGATTATTTTCAATTGTAAAACACACAGAACTAAAAACAGGTATAAAGGGGCCCCTAATGTAGAGTATGTTATGCAGATTTACCTATAAAAGCCTCCCTTGTGTAGACATCCAAAAGGTCTTAGACTGCTGCACCATCCTTGTTGATATGATGTCAGCAGCCGCAGCAGACAGAGCTGTCACTTAGGTGACTTTCAATAGTATTCCTCTTCACACCAAGTAAAGAGGGTGCTATGATATGCAGGGAGGGAAGGAGGGAGGGGGCTGTGCTATGGAATTGACCCTTCCTGGAGCAGTCAATTTCCTAGCAAGTTTCCAAAGGCACATTTCAAGGTCATAAAAAGAATTTATGAAAAATAAAAACACGGCTTCTAAGCATTTAACATTTTTCTGTACCTTTTTGAAGTTCATGACAGGGTCTCTGTAAGCGTCAGTGACTTGACCTTATTGTTTTGTGTATTATTTTACTGTGATCAGAAACACAGACACTAGACTTAGCTTCAAGCCACATGTCTGTAGAATTATCAAGAACTTTATACATAATTCAGGAAAAGATCTTTCAGAAACAGTCTGAAATAATCCACAGGAGCCTCTTTCCTCTCTCTACTACATCAGATCTCTTTGCTGAAGAAAATCAGTGCAGTGATAGCTTCTAGGAAGCAGGTCTCTTGGCCAGAGAGTAACTGGATCTATAATGATTCCGTGTATATAAATGATGCAACAAATTGTGGGAGATTCACACATTTTTGTTTACTAATCACTTCAGTTATCCTATAGGAGGTGTTAAACTAATTTATGGTATGCAGAGAAAGTGCAAAACTTCTCATTATGTCATAAAACAGTAGTGAGTGAATCTAAAAAAACAAAATAAATAAAAAATTCACTCTAGAATCAGTAACTTTAAATTAAAGTTGGGGACCGTATAGTCCCTAAATGTTAACACAAAGGGCTTCATGTATAAATCTTCTGCATGGTGTATAGCTGGGTGGATGCCATTTGCACGGCAGCGCCATCTACGGGCACTACTACCATGCACGTATAGTTTTATACATGAAGCCCTACGTGGTCCACAGAAGAATAGAGAAAAAAGAAGAGAACCACATGGATATTACTTTTTTGAAGCATCAATGTTATGTCCTATTCTATGGATTGATTTTAAATAGATTTTTGTAGTCTTTTGTGGCTTGCTTCTGAATTTGCAGGTGCACTTTTTACTTAATATTTCCAAACTAGAATTGCGCTATGCTGTTACAACACAGTCCTACATATGCAGGGTTCATATCAGCGTTTTGCCATATTGTGTACTCTGCACATTCTCTTTCTCTCTCTTTTTCCTCTCTCTCTTGCCCCCTTTGCCCATCTCAACCCCTCTCACTCCATCACTCGCCATAGCCATCATCAATCTACCCACTTCCTGTGAACCCCATATTTATATGCACACACCTTCTGTGGGTGCAATACCATGTTAGCCTGGTCACTCAGTACAATACTGCATAGAGTGGCTCTGATGTCAGCCTTGCTCTTTGCAATATTGAATGCTGCTCACCACTGGTCGTAGAGAAGGAGGACCCCCAGACAGCAATTGAACAGCCAGAAGATTACATAGTTACATAGTT